GGTCAGGAGGGATCAGTGCCCGCAGGAGGGGGCTAGGCAGCAGGAGGGCAGGAGGGATCAGTGCCCGCAGGAGGGGGCTGGAGGGCAGGAGGGATCAGTGCCCGCAGGAGGGGGCTAGGAGGGCGCCTCGGATTCAGGGGCACGACAGGCTCCCCCCTGAGCAGCCCCCCTGCTCCCACGCTGCACAGCACTGTACTGACTCCCCATCCGGGGAGCCCGGCTGCGCCCCCCCCGCTGAACGCACACGCGCTGCGGCAGCGTCCCCAGGCAGCACCAGTCATGGGCCACGTGGCCCCGGCTGCGCCCTGGGGCACGGGAGACAGGAGCAGGGCCGAGAGTCACGCAGCTTCCGGGGCCCTGGCTCCGTTTGCCTCCTGCCCCCCACCCGGCATCAGAGTAATGGGCTCAGAATCTCGATGATTCATTTTAATTATATGTGGTGAATCATAGAATCTCAGGGTGGGAAGGGACCTCAGGAGGTATCTAGTCCCACCCCCTGCTCAGAGCAGGACCAACCCCAACTCAATCCCCAAATGGCCCTCTCAAGGATTGAACTCACAACCCTGGGTTTAGCAGGCCAAGACTCAAACCCCTGAGCTCGGGTAGAACCCGCGAGGGCTGGGAGCCACTCACCGCCACGCCAGAGGGGGGAGCGGATGCTGCCGTGCCGGGCCCGGCCGCTGCCCTTCTGTGGCCAGGGCTTCTTGCCGCCGCCGCGCACCTCCGCTCGCGTCTTCACCTTGGCGTAGCTCTGAAAGGAGAGCGCGGGTCAGAGCGCCCAGCAGGCATGAGCACCTCTGGCCCGCCTGACCCAACTTGCTCCCGCTCAACGGGGGAGGGACTCGTCCGACGGCACACAGAGATGGGGATAGAACCCAAGAGTCCCGACTCCTAGGCCCCCACCTCTAACCACTCCCGGAGCTGGGAACAGAACCCAGGTGTCACTGGCCTACGGGCACGCTCCATCCCCACTCCTCAGACTGACAAACTGTCATTCCGCTCAGGGTCCCCACCCCCGGCTCTGCATACACTCACTATCCTCTTGTAGTTCCTCTGCCAGACTGCGACCGTGTGCAGGATGTCGACCCTGCAGAGGGAAAGCACAGTGACCAGGGGGTTGGTGCAGGCTGTGTGTGTCTGAGGAGCACACAGCAGTGGGCAGAGCTGCAGCTTAACAAGCAACATCGTGGAGCAAAGACCCCAGGGTTTCATGATTTCTCTCTGCTCTGGGTTGGAATTAACTCTGGGCAAAGGGGCCAGCTCAGCAGCCCCAGGGCCAGGATCCCTGTGTTTAGCCACAAGGCCAGCAGTTGGGTGATCCCCTTGGGGGGGCAGAGAGCAGTTCAGTCGATGTTCCTCCGGCTTTATCTCAGCGCAAAGGTGACTGTGGGGCCCAGGCCAGCAAACAGCTCTGAGACGACACCTTCAGATCGGGGCTGACTCGGGGCCGGATCAGAGCCAGCACCCCAGAGGGAAAGGGCCCCACGTCCCGATCCCCGCCCCCTGAGGCAGCCATTCCCCATAGAGGGTTCTCATTCCCCCTCAACCCGGACGCTCCCCGGGCCGACGACGCGTCTCTGAACCGTACCGGGGCATTACTGCAAAGACATCGGGATGCAGGTCTGCTAGGCCCACGTGTCTGTCCTCGTAGTGCCTGAGCGACTCCACCCAGGCCTGCACGGCCGTGCGGTGAGAGGGGATCGCAAGGCGGCAACCCCGCAGGACAGGGGCGCTGGAGGTCACCAGGGGCGGCTTTTCTAGGAGGCACAAACAAAAGAGGTCTGAGCCCGCGCGCTTTGTGCAGTCACAAGCAGATCGTAGCAGCCTCTGGCCGGGAATAACCGGCCCATTTTCAGCCCATGGTACGTGACGGTCACGGTCCGTCCCAGTTAAAACTGACCATCCCTGATTGGCAACACATAAGTCACTCTGCTAAGGCAGGGAGCAGAGGCCAGGTGCTCATCTCCAGCAGAACCACAACCCGCTGCACAACTCAACTCCAACAGCCAGCCAGGCACCATCACACACACAGCAAAGCAGACAACGGAGCAAGAGCGTAAAACTGGCTCTCTGGCCACCCTACGCGCACTGGTCACAAGCAAGCCAGAGCTACCAAACACATCCAAGAGCACGGTCTGCCGGCAAGTGACCAGGCAGCACCTGGATCTAGTGGCGAGGGCACCTATTCCCACCGCTGCCCAGCTGAGTGATCTAGGGCAAGTCCCTTCTCCCCTCCGCGCCTCGGTTTCCCCTCCTGCCTTTGTCTGTTTAGACCAGGGGTAATCAATAGACAGACCGCGGGCTAAACCTGGACCGCCAGATGCTTTTGAATGGACCCCAAAATCTTTTTATTTACTTATCATGATTGTTATTTTTTAATTATTTTCTCTGAAGTCTGGACCTTGACTATACCTTGAACAAGAAATTTGGAGCGTGACAAAAAAGAATTGACTACCCCAGTAGACTGTGAGCTCTTTGGGGCCGGCGAACACCTCTCACTCTGAGTCTGTGCAGCGCCTGGCACGTCGGGGGCCCCCGACCCTCAGTCAGGGGCCTGTGCAGTGCCCAGCACCACAGGGGCCCTGAACTGCAGTCGGGGTCTCCAGGTGTTACCGTAATACAAATAAACAGCAATACAACCCCCCCGCCTTCCCCCTGCCATCAGAGGATGAGCTGACCTCTATCGGGAAGACACTTCCCCTGGGGGGCGGTTATCCCACTACTACCTCCTGCAGGGTTCCCCCCCGAAGCAACCGGTGCTGTCCCCTGTCACACCCAGGAGACAAATCCAGCTGGCTCCCCTGGTCTGTTCCAGCAAGCTTGGTCTTGCTCGATCCCTGCATTCCTGCTTCTTATGCCGCCTGCGATCTCATTTCACACCCGGCCACCACACCGAGTCCGGGCACAGGAACTGCAAAGGCAGCGTTTTAGAACCATGAACGGGACTCACCTGCCTGGGTTGCGGCATCCACCACGTGTGGGGAGGGTGCGGGCGCCTCGGGAAGCCCCAGCCGGCCGGCCGAGGTGGCCAGAGCCTTGGAGAGGGAGGAAAGACGAGGGGAGGGAGCGGTCAGAGCACACAGTAGTGAGGGGAAAGGCGCAGCGGTGGAAGTCGCATGTTGCACCCACTGTTGTTAAAACGCCCCAGGCGCGGGCCAGCGCCGTACTCCAACGCTGTGTCGCCATGGCTACCCTGGTCAAGGTGTGGGGAAAATCACCCCCCTTGGCCCCACAGCTGCGGTCACTGGAGCAGGTGGGGTTGCTATGCCGGCCTGTCGTATACGCTGCATCTACAGGAGGAGTCTGTGCCAGCCAAGCACTAGCAGGGCCTGTCCCAGGCTGGCAGAACCTGATCAGCTGAGAGTTTAAACCCCACACTGGAGCACTTTGCGAACTCATTCACCCTCGCCCCTGAGCCAGCTCCTCCCCAGGGGACCGGGGAGTCCAGCCCAGCCTCGGGGGGACACGAAGAGATGCAGCAACGACCTGAACGGGGGCCGCACTCAGCCCCAGGGAGGGAAGAGGCCCGGAGAACGCGGGGCCCCGAGCCACACGTCCCCGCGGGGCAGCTCCAGCCCGTCCCCGCTCACCCGCACCGGGGCAGAGGGAGCTCAGGGCTGGGGGCGCAAAGGGGCAGCCCCCTCCTCCCCGCCCACGGGGCGTCGCTCTGCCCTTTGACCCCAGCCCAAGGCCCCTTCACTCCCCCCGCCGCTGGCCCTGTGACCCCGACACCACCCAGCCCCGAGCTCTGCTCTGTGCCCCCAGCTCCTCCCCCGCCCCATAGGGCCCTTCACCCCGTGCGCCCTCTGACCCCCATAGGGGCCCTTCACCCCAGCGCCCTCTGACCTCTGACCCCCATAGGGCCCTTCACCCCGAGCGCCCTCTGACCCCCCCACAGGGGCCCTTCACCCCGTGCGCCCTCTGACCTCTGACCCCCCATAGGGGCCCTTCACGCGCGCGACCTCTGACCTCTGACCCCTATAGGGCCCTTCACCCCGTGCGCCCTCTGACCCCCATAGGGCCCTTCACCCGAGCGCCCTCTGAACTCTGACCCCCCACAGGGGCCCTTCACCCCGCGCGCCCCCTCACCCGCGCGGCCGCGCCCCGGCTCCAGAGCCGGCTCCCAGCCCGGATCATGGCGCCCCGTCCCCGGCCGCGCGAAGAGCCACCGTCGGCCCCACGTGAGCGCCCAGGAGCGGCGGCGGGGGAGGGAGACAGAGCCGCTTCCGGCGCATGCCGATGACGTAAGCGAAGACAGGGCGCTCTCGCTGGGCTCCTAGGGGCGGGGCTGGAGGCACTTCCGGTTGGCGGGGAAGGGGGGAGGGGCTGGGGTAACGCCCATCATGGGGGGGGGGAGGGGGAGGATTCTGCCCTGGTCCTTATTGAACCTCATCAGGTTTCTTTTGGCCCAATCCTCCAACTTGTCCAGGTCCCTCTGTGTCCTATCCCGACCCTCCAGCGTATCTACCTCTCCCCCCTGCTCAGTGTCATCCGCAGACGCGCCGAGCGTGCGGCCCACGCCGTCCTCCAGAGAGACCTGATGAGGTTCAACAAGGACAAGTGCAGAGTCCTGCACTTAGGACGGAAGAATCCCATGCACTGTTACAGGCTGGGGACCGAGTGGCTAGGCAGCCGTTCTGCAGAAAAGGACCTAGGGGGTCACAGTGGACGAGAAGCTGGATATGAGTCAGCAGTGTGCCCTTGTTGCCAAGAAGGCTAATGGCATTTTGGGCTGTATAAGTAGGGGCATTGCCAGCAGATCGAGGGACGTGATCATTCCCCTCTATTCCACACTGGTGAGGCCACGTCTGGAGTACTGTGTCCAGTTTTGGGCCCCACACTACAGGAGGGATGTGGACAAATTGGAAAGAGTCCAGCGGAGGGCAACAAAAATGATTAGGGGGCTGGAGCACATGACTTATGAGGAGAGGCTGAGGGAACTGGGATTGTTTAGTCTGCAGAAGAGAAGAATGAGGGGGGATTAAAGAGGCTAGGACTTTTCAGCTTGGAAAAGAGGAGACTAAGGGGGGATATGATAGAGGTCTATAAAATCATGAGTGATGTGGAGAAAGTGAATAAGGAAAAGTTATTTACTTGTTCCCTTAATACAAGAACTAGGGGCCACCAAATGAAATTAATGGGCAGGGCAGCAGGTTTAAAACAAATAAAAGGAAGTTCTTCACACAGCGCCCAGTCAACCTGTGGAACTCCTTGCCTGAGGAGGTTGTGAAGGCTAGGACTATAACAGGATTTAAAAAAGAACTGGATAAATTCATGGAGGTTACGTCCATTAATGGCTATTAGCCAGGACTGGTAAGGAATGGTGTCCGTAGCCTCTGTCTGTCAGAGGGTGGAGATGGATGGCAGGAGAGAGATCACTTGATCATTACCTGTTAGGTTCACTCCCTCTGGGGCACCTGGCATTGACCACTGTCGGTAGACAGGATACTGGGCTAGATGGACCTTTGCTCTGACCCAGTCTGGCCGTTCTTATGTTCTTAATTTGATAGCTGCTTTCAACTACCTGAAGGGGGGTTCCAAAGAGGATGGAGCTCGGCTGTTCTCAGTGGTGGCAGATGACAGAACAAGGAGCAATGGTCTCAAGTTGCAGTTGAAGGTTTAGGTTGGATATTAGGAAACACTATTTCACTAGGAGGGTGGTGAAGCACTGGAACGGGTTACCTAGGGAGGTGGTGGAATCTCCATCCTTAGAGGTTTTTAAGGTCAGGCTTGACGAAGCCCTGGCTGGGATGATTTAGTTGGGGATTGGTCCTGCTTTGAGCAGGGGGTTGGACTAGATACCTCCTGAGGTCCCTTCCAACCCTGATATTCTATGATTCTATGACCCAGTGCATTTCTCTGGCTGCTGCTGCACAGGAATGGCCGCCCCGGGACACAGGCACAAGACAGTCGCTGTCCCAGCCGAGTGCGTCGGAAGAAAAGCTTGTGGGACTGGAGCGGAAGGATGGGCCGGGAGCCTGGGGTTCGAGTCCTTGGCTGAGGCACTGAGCCGCTGCGGGGGGGCTCAGCTGCCATCTGTGAAAAGGGGGCGTTGCTTTCTGACTAGGGTGAACAGATAGCAACTGTGAAAAAACGGGACAGGGGGTGGGGGGTAATAGGAGCCTATATAAGAAAAAGTCCCCAAAAACGGGACTGTCCCTATAAAAACGGGACATCTGGTCAGCCTATTCCTGACTGCAGTGGGGAGTGAGCACAGAGCGTGGGCCGGTGGTGACGGGGTTGGAACAGCACCTAAGACAGAGCCGCGGGTGAGAAATAGGACTAACCAGCAGGTGAGAAATAGCGTATAAGACCAGACAGTCACTTGTTCATCAATAGAGGCTCCAGGTTGTGATTTATGTTTTTCTTCGTTTCTCACCGTATGTTTCCAAACCCTGACACTTGCTTTTATCTGGCGCTTTCTCTCAAGCTCTCTTCTGTACTTTCACTGTAACCCCAAGGGCCTTGTGCTAAGGGAGAGTCTTGATCTGAGGTGAAACACCACTGAACTGGTGCGCAGTGTTTCCAGGGAGGCAGCAGATCCGTGTTCGTTGTGGGGGTCCAGACAATAGACTGGGCTGTGTGAATGTCTCGGCTGCTGAGGAAAAGAGCAGCTGTGTTACCACCAGCCGGTAGCTGGGCACAGACAGGGCTCCCCGCACTGTGAGCAGGTGGTAGTGATTCCCCCTGGACACCCCAGGTAACCCTGAGCAGTGTCACAGTTCTGCTGGTCTGATGTCCCGTGGGAAGACTTAACAATAATTCATAGCCTGCTCTGACTGCAGCCCGGCTCATCAGAGGGTCTCTGAGCGGCTGACAAAGCAGGTCAGTATCAGTGACAGAATGATGCCCCCTTGGAAGGGGTTGAAGCTAAACTGTGGAGGGGCGTGCCTATCCCAGAATAGTTCTCCGTGTGCTGGTTTAACTGTACCGGGCTAATTCCCCTGGGACAAGCGGTGGCACTTCCCTGCGAGACAAGCCCCGTTTCCAGTAAGCGCCCACCAGCGCTGGGCCAGCAGGGGGCCCTCTAGCCATATTATTGATGGCCCCGTGTTTAGCGGGACACTGCTGTGCGAGAAGTCGTGAAGCAGATGGAGGAGCAAGTGGGGGGGGGGGGGACTCCGCGCATGTAGGCAGGATTGTTACTCGTACACAGCCAGAGCCCGGGGGTCCCTGCTGAGGGTCAGGCCCCGTTATGCCCTGTGCTGTACATGGCGAGCGGTAACGGGTGCATGAGGCAAACAGGATGCGTGAAGGGAGCCCGGGGTAGCAGTGCCGCAAACCAGCTGCTGTCTGATAAGCAGGTGGTCTCACGCCTAGACATGCGGCGGGGAGAGGGGGGAGATGAGCTACGTCTGCTACTGCAGGGTTCTTCCAGCTTCTTTGGTGCTGGTCGCTGTCAGAGACAAGCCGGGCTAGATGGGCTGGGGTCAGATCCAGCCTGGCCATTCTGCGTGCTATCGTTAGCTGGTTAGACTCCGGTACGCCGCACATCAGTAGCTATGGAACTCATGGCTGCAGGATGCTACAGCAAATAGCTCCAGAGTCCACTGAGACTAAGCTGGCCCCTCGAGGGGCCCCTTTAGTGCACAGGTGAGACATGCCGGCAGGAGGGCATCACAGACACTTACACAGTCAGGGCTACCCTTATCCTATGGACAAAGATTCCTAGATTCCAGGGCCCATCCGGTTTGACCCCCGGCATCACGCCGGCCATAGGGCGCCCCGAGTTAATCCCTGGTTGAACTAGAGCAGAGCTTTTAGACAAACCTCCAGTCCAGATTGAAAAGCTGCCAGCGCTGGAGAGGCGTCAGCCCCCGTGTCTGTCAAGCCGGCTCCTCTCCCCAGCCTGTGAATTGCTTCCAAACAGCTCCGCGGTACAAGCAGCATTTTAATCGCCTCCTTCTGCAGCTGATACAATGCCAAGGATTTTAATTCAGAGTCACGCGGTGCCTGGCCGGACCTGTACCAGAAATGGGACCTAATCGGACGACAGCATCTTATTAGATAATTCCTAATGACACCAGTGTGGTTTCCTCTTCCTCTGTAAACTGCATGAACCCTTTATGTGAACTCTCGCTATCAGATCATTATAACGACCCTGGACTGGACAAAGCCCTGGGGACAGCTCCAGTACATCCAGATTGTGGGGATGATTTGTTTAACATTTAGATTGCAAAAGTGCTGAGAGACCAACTGGCTTGGGACAAACTGTGCCGGGCGCTGCCCAGACCCCGGCCGAGATCAGGGCCCCGTCGTGCCAGGCACTGCCCAGATCCCAACCAAGATCAGGGCCCTGTCGTGCTGGGCACTGCCCAGACCTCAGCCGAGATCAGGGCCCCGTCGCGCCGGGCGCTGCCCATACCCCAACCAAAATTGGCCCCGTCGCACTGGGCGCTGCCCAGACCCCGACCGAGATCAGGGCCCCGTTGTGCTGGGCTGGATACATCTAGAAAGTGACAGATCTGCCCCAAAGAGCACCACGTGTACAGGACAAGCCGTAGCCAGTTGGTGGGGGCAGGGTGAGAAAACGAGGAGGAGGTGTGCCGATCAATCGCTGTGACAACCTCAAATGTTCACTGAGTCTGAGGCCAGAGGGACTGTTCTGCTCATCCATCCGGTCTGCCCCCCTGCAGAGCGCCGC